GAAGGAGCCTATGTGAAGCTTCACCTTTCTGATTATTTTTGAACATCCTGCTTAGACCACTGTACTGATTATGGACTTGATTAAGTGCTCTTCCGAAATGAGGAGTTCTACACTAATTAACACCCCAGAAAGCTCTAGTCCTAAATCCCACATAAGAGTCTCTGGCACTCACAAGCTTCACAGGATTTTTGGGTGTTCACCACCTCCCAGGCAGGGTGTGTCCTCAAATGGCAGAACTGAGAAGAAAAAAAAAAAAAAAAAAAAAAAAAAAAAAAAAAAAAAATCCTCTCAAAATACAAGTAAAACATGCTTCTGATGCAAAATTAGCATTTGGCGGAGAAGTGACTCACGGTGACTGAGGACTTCGTGCATCCCTTCTCTGAAGCAGCCAGGATCTTTTTCTGGCTTGTGAATCACCAGAAAATGGTAGATGAGTACGTCTTGACCTAAGCAAAAACTGAGGGTGTTAAAGAAGAAGATGAACAGCTCTACTCTGCTCTCTGAAATAGCACTGCTGGCAAATTTGTGATGCCAGGAAGAGGGGAAATAGTGTTTCCACAGGTGGCTTAAAAGGCGAAAAGCCTCCTTTACAGTGAATTCTTGGGCTTTGGAAAGCCTGACTGTGAACTGAAAGTGGATTCACCAGCATGTGGAGCAGCTCCAGCATGGGAAGGGGACATGTCAGCTCCCTTGAGGGTTTAAACCTTTTTTTTTGCAGGGCCTGGCATGTTTTGCAGATGCTTTTGTGACCCAGAACCCCTCACAGAGTCCAAAAATCCCATCTTAAGGCTCTTTACAGAAACCCGACAGACTCTGAGAAGAAGTGGTGGGAGAGGGGATCAGGAAAGCACCTGAGCATCACTCTAAACCCCAATCTATAGTCTCCCTCTTCAGACACAGCCCCATGTGAGCAGCACTGGGTGCAGCAGAGCCAGATACTCAAGGGCAGGCCACATGAATTGCAGTTTTACCAGCCAAACTGCTACAGGACGGAAGAAAAGAGACACTGTATGTTTATGAAACAGAGCACATATATAATTCATTTGTGTTAGAGTCCAGGTGCATGAAATCAGCATGTTTGTTGGCAAACTCTTTCTGACCAAGGCAGGGCACAGCACGAAGCCAACAGACACAGCTGGCTGTCCAAAGGCTACCCCAATGCCCCAGATGTGCTGCTCTCTTGCTTTTTGCCCCCACAGGCATGCTTTGCAGGGGGGGTGATTGCAGGAGACCTCCTTGTCCAGACAAGGAGAGGTATTGAAATACATTTTGTTTGTGATCGAATAGCTGTCCTGACTGGGTTTCCTGGTTGCTAAGGTGAAAATACCAGCCCTTCTGCTCCTTGTTTCATAATTATCCCCTTGTCATACTTTGTTCCTACATCTCATTTAATTATTTTTTAAATCCAGTTGACTCCCCACAGTAATGTCTCTGACTCAAGCAGTCTCTCATCCTGTAGCGCAGAGAAATGTTGATGATGATCTTTTTTTTCTTCATATCAAGTAGAATTAAGTGCCAGCTTTTGTCATGGCTACAAAACATTCTCCTCTCTCGGTAGAGGATTCCCTTTGGATAACTGCTTATCACAAAATAGTACCTTTCCAAGCATCCCTCCTTAATTATCCTCCCGGTCAAGATTTCCAGGACCTTCTGACTGCAAAAACACCATGACACTGATGTCATGGTTTTAACCTGAGCTCTTCTTAAACAATCTAACAGGTTTTGTGGGTAGTGTAGCCATTACTACACTCAAGGTAATCAGGGTAAATACTCAAGGTGGTGGTGAGGAAAAATCTTAGCTGAGCTTTGTTTTATGGCAGCATTATGGTATCTGGTATGGTGCTGCTGAGGCACTTGAAGGGTGTCTGGGCAAGTGCCTGGGTATGTCATTTCTTGTGACTCCAGACATCCAGGTGCAAAACCCATTTTTGCCACTTGCGTTGTGAATGTAGGCAAGCGACTTCAGACTTTTGTGCTTCTCTTCTTCAAACCTGAAAGGAAGGTGAGAAGCACTTCCCCCATCGCAGGAGAGCTGTACGATGCTGCTGCTGAAGGGGTCTCGAGGGGGAGCCCACAGAGGCTTTCCACAAGGGTGTTGTGAGGTAGGATCACCCACCTGCCCTAAGGTACCTGCTGAACCTTTTTGTTGAGCAGCAAAGGAGCGATGAACAAGCGACACTGGGCCAGCCATGTAGATCTGAGTTCAAAACACTGCCTTAGTGAGGCTGCCACGTTGAGCTCTTCAGCTAAGTATGGCAACAAAGACAGGCAAAAAAAAAAAAAAAAAGGAGTAAAATTCAAATACTGCAATTGCTTTCATGGTAATCAGCACAGCATTATTCAGAATGATTTGTTATTTTACACTGTCGGCTATTATCTTCTGGCAGTCACCATGAGTTAAACAAATATCTGATATTGCAAGGGACTGGTTTTTGTGTGCCTTTGACAAGAACCTCACCACAATAAGGAGCCCAAAGAGAGGGAAATGTTGTTCTGCAGTCTCTGTTTCTCTCCTGATGTATGAATCATGGCAGTCCTTCCTTGGCACTTATTATGCTTGGTGCTTACGGTAGTGCTTTGATGTCAACCTCGCTTGAAGTGCCTTTTGTATAGCAATAGAAGAAACACGCCCCGTGGACTTTGTAACATTCTCCCTTTCTTCGGATGGAGAAGTGCTCGGAGTGAGAGGGGATGCAGGGATAAACTCCACAGCTTGACCCAACATGACAAATTTTGAATATGAATAAGTAATATCAAAGCAATATCCAGGCCTTTACTTGAGCAAAAACATTTTATTTTCTTTTTTATTTTTTAATGCCTTCTGGATAGGCAGAGCAGGTAGCAAGTGCCTGGGTAATAAGTGATTAAATAACTCTTCAGCTGTACAGGTTCACAGCAAATTGTCTAATCTTATTACAAGTCATAAACCAAGGGAAGTAGGAAAACAAGAAACACTAAAGAATACAGAAAATTAGAAATACTCTATTTTGCCTTGACTTTTGTCTTGTCTTTTCAACCAAATTCTTTAGAAATCCAAATCTTGAACTACCCCAGTGAATGGGAGAGCTTCAGACTCATGAGCTGCCTGTTTCTGGGCACTGAATAGGATCAAACACAAAATGGGATGAGGCTCCAGAGCTGGAATTCTCATTTGGGTTCATTCTTAATATCAATATTTCTCCTGCCATCAGGTCTTGTTCATTCAATATGCCTGGGTTGCTCAGGCTCTCCCAGCAACCACAAGAATACCCTGCCAATCCACAGGGATTTCCTATAGTGCTATTTTTAGAAAAAATGTAGAATTTTGAATCAAAGAAAAAAAAAAACGCTTAGGCCAGCGTTCCATCTGTGTCAAGCTTGGCTGGTTTTCAATCAATCTTTTCATTAAATTTTCAAGTTTTGATGGAAAAGAAAAGGAGGATTGAGTACACCCTCTAGGAAAATTTTGTAGGGAAAAATTTTGCATGTCAAGCAAACCAGCTACAATTTGCCCAAAGCTGATCCACACTCACAAAACGTCTTTGGTTTCTGGGGATATTTCTAGGTTTTGTCTGACTAATTTTGATGGTTTATTTAAGGTGTTGTTGGCATAAGCAAAGTATTTCTGGGCACTTTTTAAAAGCTTTTAGGTTTTGGGGGATTTTGTTGCTTTTATTCTGGAAGTGTTCATGTGCCCAACAGCTGACAAGCTGTTTCCAGGTCTAGTGGCTTGTCCAGTAAAATATATTAACATTCCCTATGGCCTCAATACATTTCTGGGATGCTCAGAAAAATAAAGGGCTGCCATTCCCAACTCAAAGCCTCTTACCAAGTACTCTGCTTGCTATGTAAAAACCCTTGCGGTCCTGTGGCATTTGTAATGTAAAGTTGTGGGCGGGGGAGTATAATGTACTATCCCTTTCAATTCCTACCAGACCAGATTCAAGGTCACCCACCTGGAAGCTTCAGGAGACAAACCCATGGCTTCTTGTTTTATAATTGTAAGCCACTTGTGAAAATCTTGCCTGATACCGCCCAAAGTTCCTTGGCCCAAAGAAAGATGTTTTGCAAAGTTGTTTTTTCCTTGCAATACTTTTTTTTCCCTTTTTTTTCAGGAGCTCCTTTTTTAGGGCAGGGTGGTGTTAGCAACTTTTTGAGATGTTGCATGCTGTCAAACACATGAGAGCCAAAATGAGGTGGCCCAGTGGTCCTCCAAGGCAGAGGGCTAGCATTCCCAGGTGGCTACGGCACATCTGTCTGGTATTTCACACCTGGCAGCCCCTTCAGTCACTTGATCAACATCAAGCCAGCTTCATCCAAGTAAAGCCATTTTTATTTTTATTTCAAAGACATGGCTGCTCTCACTGGATGCCAGCGGTGGGCACAGCTTTCCATCTCCCTTCTCCCCAAGCCTTGGCTGGGCCCTAGGGTCCTCTAATGTTTGAGATCTTCCTTTCGATCTCAGATTTAGCCTTGAGAAGAGTAGACTGCTCACTGCCCAGCTGGAGCCATCCAGGAGCTACTCCCCAATAAACATTTTCTCTTTTGTTTTGCCCAGTAATGTTATCCGGGTCATTGTTTTACCTTTCCTGTTCAGGCCCACTGAAGGTAATCCAAAATCAAGTATAAACCATAAGACCAGGAGCTCTCAGAAGGGTCCATCTTCACCCATCCTTTAGATGCCCACCTCACCTTCTCCATCATGTTCCCCACCATGTCAAGAGCTTGCAAGATTACTCACTCCCTCTTGGTGATGTCTCACCGATCCCACCATGGCTAGGATTTGCTGGGGTAATTCTGCACCAAGGTTGTGGCCAGATCTTCATCCCTCTATGACATTTGTGGGGGAGTGGGATGTCCCTCATCTACCTGAACTGGGTCTCTGTAACAAAAAAAAAAAACAAATAATCTAATAATCTAAGGCTCAGCTCTGTAACAGTGAGCAGGTCCATAAAAAAAAAAATAAAAAATCAGAGTTGACTTTTCTCCACACAGCTCCATGTTTACCTCTGAACATCAGCACTCACTTCAGGGCTGTGTTTCCATATAAGACACACACACCCCCCTTAGATAATTACACTTAATTGCTAGTGTCGGTGTCTCAGACGTCCGCCAGGCTCCACTCCGATTACAATGACAGTGCTTGGGAGCTGAGCAGGTCCACCACGCATGGTCCAAGCTGCATTCCGAGGATGCCCAGTGCCACTTGTGCCCCTAACCCACTCCACTGGCAGCTCTGTGAAAATCAAAAAGATCCACAGTCTGTTAGGGTGAGATGCAGAATCTGTCCCAGCATGCAGGCAACTCGGTCTGGTAGTTATCTAGGAGGTGGGAATAGTCCCTTTCATCTCAGCAAATCAACTCCCAAGGATAAAGATGGTGAGGCAGCTGACAGCAGCTGAGTTTATTACAGCTTTTAATTTAGAAGAAACAACCCGCTAACGTGTGCTCTGAGCAGATGGGTGTCACACAAGCCAGGGTTTTAGGAAGCACTCCCGATTTTTCCAGACTTCTTAAAACTTTCCCATTACCTTTTTTTAGTCTCATAGAGATCAGCAAGGGCCAAAGTGGGGTGGCGGTGGAGCCGGGGCCAGGGAAAGGTAGGAGGGACAGGCTGAAGGCCCTCTGACCCAGGATAGGGAGAACTGAGGCTGGCGTAACTTCTGCCCCGTGGGAATCTGCAATGGATAACCCTCTTCCATGAGCCGTGGATTTGCTCCTGGAGCTGTTGTTCCTGTGCTCATACTGCTTTTCTCACCCAGAAAATGTCCTCTTTGAGGGAAGGACCTCACAGAGCTTTATGAAGGCACTAGTCTGGCCCCAGCAGATAGCTGAGAAGCCAGGTTTGCAAAAGTGTCTGAAGTATTTTGTTCATTCCTCAAATGGAGTATAAAGAGAATTGCTATTTTTCTGACTTATTTTTCAAGACCTTTTCTTTCTTTTAGATTACTTTCCAAAATACCCACCCCTGCAGGCGGGTTAGCAAGGGCTTGGTGTTCACCCCTTAGAGTACAAGTTAATGTGAGTGGGCATACGATACCTGCCAGCCTGGCTGTTTGCTTAAGGAGCTCCTTGCTGATGTGCACAGCACCAGGAATAGGGGTTTATTGGCAAATAATCCTTCATTCTTGAAGGCACTCTGAAATATCAAGAGATAAATGTTAATTTCAGCGATTCCCCAAGCTGTGATGACAGAGATTGTTCACAGCATTTATCTGTGTCACTTCAGCCAAAAATTGTCGTAATACTTCTTGGCAATTATTTGAAAAAGCTGTTGCAATGTGCCACCTGCCCCTCTGTGCAATGTGCCTGTCCTGTTCTTTTACTGGCAGCTACGGGAACCAGATGCCAAGATGTGGAAGATAATTTCCTCATGGCAAGGAGCATCTGGTTCTTTAGTAATCTGAAAAGACCATTGTGCCAACCAACTTCCCTGGTGTTGCATTTGGTTGCACAATAGGGTTATACGTGATCTAGCAGTAAAATATTGCTCTTCCAGGCACCTCTGTCTTCAGGTGACTTTTGAATGTAGATTTGTTGCTTTGCCCAAAAGACCTGATTTCTTGAAAGTTTCTCAGCTTATCTATGACGTCCTTGTTTCTCAGCCAAACTTTTTTCCTAGCCTCAGACTTAACCACATCTCTGCTGTTTACAGTGGCCTCTTCTTTCCTTGTAAAAGATTTATATAATGTACTACACCAAGATTTGCTGACCTTTTCCCCACACTCCTCACTTTTGCCTTCTGTTTGTCTCACCCAACTTCAAGCAGTTCTCTGAAAAACCTAAATAAGGAGTTTTGCCATCCTGGGTTGCCCCTGTAGTCAATGGCCCAGAAGACACAAGAGGTATTTCTCCAAACAGGAGTTATAGCCAGGCAAGATTGTCTTCTATATGGTCTCTCTTTCCACTGAGTCTAGATGAGGCCTTCAGTGACCATGGTCTTATCTTGGGCATCTTAGTGATATGCCTTTAGCTAACTTTTAATTCACTTGTGCTATGATGGTGCTTTATCCAGACCTCAGTCAGGCATCACACAGGTATCTGGGCTAAGATCTGGGCTATGGGGCAGGGTGGACTCCAGGTTCCAAACCAGAAGGATTTTGTGGATATCTGCTTTGGGGACGCATTATGGGTATAAAAAAGCCAACAGCCACATAAGGTGCAACACAGTGAAGAAAGCAGCCTTCCACTAACGTTGGGTTTTTGGCTGATGAAAACTATGTCTTCTGTCTTCTATCAAACACACTGAAATGTAAAGGCATTAAATTAAATAATTTCCTCCTTTAAAAAAAAAAAATACCCAGCAGGTTTTTTCATATATTAACATTTACTGTACTAGAGCAGAGAATTATTGCGGTAGAGCTAAACTACTGTGGCTCGAAGAGTTCTGCAAAAATAGTTGTTCTATATTAGACAAACATCGAGTTTTGGTTAGTCTGAGGTAGCAGCAAATGAGGCAGAAATAAAAAACTTGGAAAGTTAAGAGATTGCTCTCTCTGTTCAGTTTGCTACTTACGTAGGAGACATTCTTGATTTTATAAGAATCTTTCTTTACGTTCCTCCTTAATCTGATGTTGTTTGCCAGGATCTGGAAAATAAAAATTAAAAATAATGGAACATCCTGCACTGATTATGAGACATTTATACCTTGAATGCAGCCTATTGCTATTCTTAATCTATTATTAACTGTCCTTTTGTAGCCCAATACGGATTGGGTAAACTGAGCTGCTTTGAAAACAGGCTTCCCCTGCACATTGACTGAAGAAGGGATGATGGACATGGTTTGGGATCCACATCTTGTTTTGCTCCTGGGGCACCTCTTGCCTGTTTCTCCTGCCTGCAGTAGAGAAGTCCAGGAGCATAACTGCCAGGCCAGAAGTCATGGTCTTCACTAGGTTCCTCCCAAAACCCACCAAGATGCTCACGCAGGAGGATTTCTCACCTAGGGCTTACATTTCAGCAGCTCTAACTGAGCAAACACAGAGGGACCACCAGGTCCCTATCACACCTGTGGGCAAAAGCCCCGGAAGACCAGGTTAGCACAAAGTTAGGTGTGGGATAGCTGCTCTTGTGACATGGCTGCTGGTTAAGTGCCTGAGTGGAAAAACTTTACTGAGAGGTACATTGTGCTGCCTAAAAATAACTACCACTTCTTTATCCAAACCACAGTCCTCTGGAGAGCTCCACTATTTAAGCACATTTGGATGCTAAGAGGAATCCTAATCAGCGAGACATTTCGCTTTGGCCACAGACCTCTCTGAAGTCACTGGGAAGCATCCGCAGAGGCGATGGGAGAACTTGGCTGTCACCCATGCCTACGCACTGCAGCAGTGAATTTGCTGTTTTAGTGGTTTCTTTTAATTGGGGTGATTGCTTGCATGCAGAGGAGCAAATTAAAATCCTGTGAACTCAGCTATATAAAGAAGCTCACAGCTAGGCGGACAAGGCTGACATGAGTGGGAGGTATCACTTGTCACCCCACCCTCTGCCCTGTGGGAAAAGATCCCCTCCAGACACTGTGTTTGCCTTTTCAAGAGTGTTTGCCTGGAGAGAAGAGGCTCCCCAGGACCTGGTGTCTTCCCATGGGCTGTCTGCAGCATCCTTTGAGGAGACCACAACCTGTCATGCTAGGCCTGTGCCTCCAAGCTCATTTCTCATCTGCCTCCCCCGTCGTCGTCACCAGGACTCCTGCATCTTCCCCTCAAGCAGGTGGATGGGACTTGGATGGGGATGGTCAAAGTCCACTTGAATGCAGCAGCTCCTGTTCCTCCACCACCCTCACCCCCAGCTGGGGCTTCTTTTTATGGACCCTGATTTTGCTCCTTCCACAACAGGAGACGTTTCAAACATTATTTTTAAAAATATATATATATATCATCCCACAACATTTCCACTCTTTAAAGTACCTCTTTTTCTTCCTTCCCAGAGACTTTATTCCTTTAAATTTAAGATGGTGCTGGTCACCTTTGCTCCAAAAATACACAAAGCTGCTGCATAACTATTTTCCAAATAATTAATCTTTCCAGTGGAATAACTTAAAGCCCCACGTTTCCTGTTATGTTATACAGCTGCAATTTGTAAGGAGAGATCCCGCACTGTGCTACATGGGCAGAGGGCCAAGGACGTGGCGCTTTACCTACACAAGAGCCCTACATAAATAATCCTTAGCCGCAAGTTAAACAGTTAGGTACTGTTCGGTTCAAGAAAAAAGGAGAGGAAAAACAAAAGCCTTTCTTCTGGTTGTCATTTCACAGTTTGGCGTTCAATTTTCAGCGGTATTGTATTTTATTTTGTAAGCTTCAGGAGCTGGGAATGCCCCCTTCTCATATACCAGGGAAATAGGTGCTCAGTTCCACAACGAAAAAGCGGGTTTATTGATTAATTTCCATTTCAAACAAGTATTTTGTCTGCCATAAAAATTATAGCCTCCTGTATAGCTGGGATCTCAAGATACATCAAACATAAGCCTAGCAATCCTTGCTTTTCTGCCCAAAACCTGGCTTGGGGTGGAAATCATGGGAGATAGCCAGGAAATAAGGGAAGCACCCAGTGCCCTGGCTGGGACAGCCCTTGGAGGGCCACCAGAGCCAGGCATAAATCAGAGCTGCCCTGAGACAGCAAGAAAGGATGCCAGGAGCCGCACTGGTCCCCTGCCAGTTGCAGCATGGGGGCAGCGCCGAGATGATATAAAGCCTCCACTGGCAAGCCTTCGTTCCTCCTCCGCCTGGCACAACGGGCAGCACTGTCACTCTGAAGTGTGGGGGGTCTGGGCTCCTGAAATCGCTGAGTTTCTCTTGCCAAGTGCATTTTATATATCCGTTATAACAGAATCATATGTATTGGGGGGGATGCAGGGTTTAGCTGCAATAGTAGTAGTGTTTATAGGTATTATAAATCATCATCAGAGTCATGCATACTTCTGTTATACTTTCAGGAGGATAGTGAGAAGGATTGGGATATTGAAAAAGTCAGTTATTGTCATGGTTTGAGTCCGGAGAGCAACTGAGCACCACACACTCCTTCCCCCTCAGGAATGGGAAGAAAAAAATAAAACAAAAGGCTCAGAGATCAAGAAAAGAACAGAGAGGGGCGATACACCCATTATGGTCACAGGCAAAAGACAGATTTGTTAGATGAAGAAAAAGAAATACAACTTAATTTAAACACCACCACCACCTAAATTAAAAATCAAACAGAGCAGGACAGTGAGAAATACAACCACATCTTATAAAAACCTCCTCCCACCCCTTCCTTCTTCCCAGGCTCAACTTTGCTCCCGATTTTTCTCCCTCTGCACCTCCAGCAGTGCAGGGGAGCAGGGAATGGGGGTTGTGGTCAGTTCATCACCCGTTGTTTCTGCCACCCCTTTCCCCCCAGAGGGAGGACTCCTCACACTCTTCCCTTGATCCAGCATGGGGTTTCTCTCACAGGAGACAATCCTCCATGAACTTTCTCTGACATGAGTACTTCTCACAGGCTGCAGCTCTTCCTGAACTGCTGCAGTGTGGGTTCTTCCCATGGGTTGCAATCCTCCCAGCACCAAACTACAACAGTGGGAGCTTCCCTCGGTGTCCTGGCATTTTTCAGGCTCAGTCCCCTGCTCTGGCGTGGGATCTTCCACAGGCTGCAGGAGGGCATCTGCTCCACCGGTGACCTTCACGGTTGCAGGGGCACAGCCTGACCTCTCACCATGGGCTGCAGGGGAGTCTCTGCTCCAGCAAGACCTCCCCCCGCCTTCCTTTCTTCCACTGACCTCAGTGTTTGCAGAGGTGTCTCCCTCACAACTCCTCCTCACAACTCCCACTCTTACTCCTAGATTCCCCTTCTTAAATACGTTATCTCAGAGGTGCAGGCACCATTGCTAATTGTCCCAACCTTGGCCAGAGATGGGTCCAACGTGGAGCTGGGGGAGCTTCAAGAAGCTTTTCACAGAGGCTACTGCTGCAGCCACCTCCCCTGCTGCCAAAACCCCCACAACACAGACAAACCCAGCACAGCTGTTAATTGTTGTCTTCTCAAATTGAAGGAAAGCATTTCAAAGGCTTACACCTCCAGGGGCTAATGCAGCAAAGCACATAGGCATGGTGTGCTTGCTCACGGGTCAGACTCCCAAGGCTATTTCATCTCTAAAAATACAGCAAGGAGCTTGATAGAAGTTTGCTGTGGGATGGAAGGGTCCAAAAGCATCTAAGCCAGTTCAGCATCTAACTCCCTGTGCTGTCAGTGGGACTTTAGGTCTGTATTTGCACTTCCAGGCCCCTAAATACATGTTAGCTCCTAACCTGTGGTTAACAGGGGCTAACATGAAGGGGATGGGATGAAGTGGAGGATGTGTCCCTTGTAAGAGGGACCTTACACTGGCTGTTTGCCTCCTCCTTTTGGGGAGGAGACTAGGATCTGAATGCACTCTTTAAAATCACAGCTTGCCCAGACCAGTGAGGGAGCAAGCCCAGAAAGATTACTTCCAGCACCTCCCAAATTTTCAGGATATCCCTCTCTATTTCAGGGGATACTGTCAGACCTTCAGGCAATGGAGTGGGCTTGCTGGGAGGAGCGAGTGAGGAGACTGGTTGCCTCAGTTTCCCCTTGGCCTTATCCACAGCTCCTGCTCACACTGATGGGACTCATCCCAGGTGATGGAGAAGAGCCTGGTGCCCATGTCAAGAGCAGTCCCGGCCGGTCAGACACACTGCCCTGGTGTCTGGAACACACAGCATCACATCAGCCCCAACGTACAGGCAAAGAGGAGAAAATTTTCCAAAAGGCTTGGAAATTATCTTGTTTTATGCTTAGAATAACCCCATTACCACAATATCCTGAATGAATTATGCCAGACTTCCCATGCACATACACGCACAAAAAAAAATTCCCCTTTGGGCTTCTTAACAACAGTGAAAATTTTCAGAAGGGAAAGCTCCTGAAAAGAGGGAATTTGAATAAAAAATGTCTTTTGGAATGTAACTACAAATGAGTATCATCATGCTTTGATATTTATAATGGCAATCGTTCTCCTCATTGTGAAATACACTTTCTTTTGTACTAGCAAATTTTTGAAAAATGCTTAATCTTGCACATAATGTGCATTAGGAAACTACTCAAATTAAGACCTCTTTGAGACGCTGATCAATGCTAAAAAAAAAAAAAAAAAAAAAAAAAGCAGCTCAGAGAAGGAAAATTATTTCCTCCCAGCAAGAGAGGGTTATTTATTGTAAACGCGGATGGGGGTAGCTTTTGCTACATTATGAGAAATTATGTTCGTGTCTTAACATTTCCTATCCAAGACCATAGCTGGTGGATTTGCAAACAGACAAGGTGCCTGTAGAAGTAATCGTGCTTCAAGAGCATTTAACATCCTCCTTGCACATGGGTAAATATCCCACATGCCGTTAAACTCTGGGCATCTGATGGAGCTGATATCACAGAGCTGGAGAAGCAATTAAACCACGGTTGTCGTTATAGTGTCTCAGTAGCCGATTGGGCTGTGATAATGGAAAAATTAAGCCCTTGCAAGTGGGCTGTGGAAAGAGATGGTCAGAAAAGAAGAATGAAACCCCACCTTGGCTGTCTCTCGTCAGCTAACGAGAGGGGTCTATCACAACAGCACACCCATCAAAATTTATAGGTACTGCCTAAAGCTACCAAAATATTGACAGAGCTATCAAAACACAAGGGATATTAATGCAAAGACTTCCTTGCTTTGTAGAAAGCTGATTTGGGGGGCGGGACTGAGAGTTCAGGTTCTCAGGGAATTGGCAGGCACGGCTACAACCTCTTGGTTTCAGCAAAAATAAATAGCAGCAGAGGGAAGATGTCTTGGAATTAGCATCATGACCTGACACGGGTAAAATCAACCCTTCAGGGTGCAGGGCAGAGCCTGTTCCTGTATAATCAGTTGTAATATCTGACTGGTGTGTGAGTCCCGGGCTGCACCCTACTCTATCCCACGCTGAAATACTGCTGGTGGAGGGGGGATGGGCTGGGGGAGCTGCTGCTGGCAGTTAATGGGAGTTGAGAAGCAGCATAACGTTGCTAGTGATGAACAAGCTGGTATCAGTAAGTAAGCAAGCAGAGGTTGGTCTTAGTACTGCTAAGAGGTTACTTTAGAGATAGGATTGGGTTAGTGTGTTCAGGAACGATATGCCTTTTAAAATCAAGTGGTGAATTCAGCTGAAACACTGCAAGTCACCTTTGGGGTCAGCCATAGAGGTATCCTCTCACCTTATTTTTAAAACCAGTTGAGCTTTCAGGAAGTTTGCCTGCACAAAAGACCGTACTCAGTCCTCGAGTGTATGTCTCTCTCCTGACACCCCCCTCTCCCCCGCTTCAGTCCCATCCTCCCAGCAGAAACCAAATTCAGCAGATGGAACAAGGACCCAAGATTATGTCTATGCTGTGAAATGGAAGAGAACCAGCAGTGAGGCCTGGGCCTGGCAGCACTGCCTGGCAGGTAGATGGTTCCCTGGCTCCGGATGCTCTTCTGAGAAGTGGTCAGACTCAGCTCTGGCACCACTGGCCCCCATCCTTTCATGTTATCCCAATGAGGTTTTGTGCCCAAACACCCTCATGCCACCCCCCAGGGCATGTAAAATCCTTTTCCCGGTCATGCCATGAAAACCTTTTGCTGGCAAGCTGCAACAGAGAGATGACGCTATTTTAAATACTGGGAAAAAAAAAAACAAAAATAGAGTAAGAATCCTTTGCAGTGTATGGGGTGGTGCACAGGGAGCACACACAGCCAACCTGATGTTTAGCTTTGGGGCCAGAGGCTGCTCCCTGCCTGTCTTATTTAGAAATATGCAAGATGAATGCACAGAAAAGGATTTTCCCCAAGGCTTTGGGTAGAAGCGTCCCACTGAGGGAAAAGCTGATGAGCCGACATCTTCCTATCTCCTAGGGGAGTCCCAAGGAGTCCCAGTACTCCCTGCGCTGGGAGTGTCTTGGGTACGACTGGACTTTTTCCTGTGGCAGTGGTTTGGGTGACCAGTAAAACACCACACAGTTTCTATTGCTGCATTTTTAGCACGATCACGACCTAAGCAAGTGCCAAGCAGCAGCTGTGGGTGCGTGGGCAGCCTCCACTCAGCCGGTAGATGTGGCATTCGAGGGAGCTCCCCAGGACCCAGGCAGCCCGTGATCTCCTCAAGCCCCTTGAAATCAGGCTGGCAAGCTGAGGGCTGGCTGGCAACCAGGGCAAAAACTACCTTCAGTGCTGCTCCTGACTGAGCACTTTCCATGGATGGAGAGTGCCAGAGCTAAGTAGCCAGGTCTGGCCAAGTCCCTGAGCAAGCCCACGGGCAGATGACACCATGCGGGCATTCAGCTGGTATCTAAGTAGTATACTAGAAGCAGGGGTGCTGGCCCGTGCTACACTTTCAGTTTAACGGAAGCATTTTGGTTTTCTGTGAAGCTTTTCTCAAACATAATCAATTTTGCTTCCTTTTTAAAATTTTTATTTAGCATCTTCTTTTCTTTTCCAGCAAGGAAAACTGCAGAAGGAGAGAGAAGCCAGACCAGGTGAATAAACAGAAACCAAAATGCTTAAAAGCTGTTCATGGTCATTTTTCATTTCAAAGCAAAATAAGCACAGAGTAAAACACTGGACTAGATTAAATCCTTGCCTTTTCCTCATTCTTGCTCTTAGCAAAGCCACGAGTCCACTTCTTTCATCAGACTCATCCCAAATGCTGGGTGTCCTGGAAATGGCTTGGTGTCAGCACAATTCTTATTAGACATGAGAGAATTCCTAACAGCAAATTGCCCCAAAAAACTTCTATCAGCACTTGCATATCATTAGATACAGACGAGACACAAAGCCAGGGTAAATTCAGCTTTATTTTGTCCACCATTTATAGTTTGGGTATTTTCTTCCAAGTTTGAAGCAATGGGTGGTGAATAGGCAGAGAAAGATGAGGAAGATATGGAAGGGACAGGATGAGAGATCACATATGGCTCAGGGAAAGGGACGTAGCAGGAGAGGTGATGAATTGATGAAAAAAAAGCAAACCAACCAAAAAGTAAAATAAACTTACAGAAATGTGGAGGAGTTCCAGTAAAGGGGGAAAGAGAAACAATCTGGAAATGGCAGGCTGTGATGCGGACAGTATATTTAGTTAAGCCACTGGCACTTTCCTCTGGTGGGAAGAGTGACAATTGCAGGGCTTAGGTCTTAATCCAACAAGGGAATTTCAACATGGGCTTATTTTTAAACATGTGAGTAATCCTCATGTTTTCAGTTCAGAAAGGTAGATCCCAGCTCGTATCAAGCCTGTTGCCAGCATGGACCTCACTGTTAGAAAAAAAAAAAAAACGTTTTGAACCTCTTTTAAGCCTCATGTTTTATTTTTCTCAGTGAAAAGACTTATATACCCAAATTTATTCGAATTAACAAGGACATGGAGGAGTGTGCTGTGAGATGGGGCAACGGGGTTCCTCAAGACTTCCTCAGGACTGAGACAGGTCTGCCTGGGGAGGCTGCTCTTGCTCCCATTGTGTTTTGCTGAGAGCAGAGCTGGCGACCAAATCAGTGTGATGGAGACATTTCCAGAAGGATGGAAAAACGCAAGCAGCCAGCGGGACATGGGCACCCAAGACATCACAGCCACAGGAATGGGATTTGCCCAGTGCAGAGCACAGCCACCTCTATCCCAAGCTCTTGCAACCTGTATGGAGCTTGGCTTGGGTGTGAAGGGATGCAGAAGAGCATATCCGAGGGTGAGCCTGGCTCTTTCATTCAGAGCTCAATTTATAATAATTGTATTTTAGATAATATAATATTATTATATTAATTTCTTGATTTTTCCCAAATGCACGGCCTCCTCTTAAAAGTCAGTCCATGCAGAAGTTTCACATCAGGAATTTTATTTCACTGAATTTTAGGGTGGTTTTGGGTGGAGGGGAGGCAGCATCCCTAGTTCGTTTGCACCCACCCTTCCAAAATGCTCACAAAACCTAGTATTTTGAAGCACAAACTTTTTGCACACTGAGAAACCAGTGATGCTTGGAGTCAAACACTCAGCTTGGGAGCAAGCTGATGCTGCACAGGGATGATCCCACTCTCTCTGACATTTTACCACTTGCTGCAAGCACTCTAGTCTCCCCTGACACAGCAAAGCCCACCACATGCTGGTCCTTAAGTGCCAGTGATCTCTGTCAATACCCAAACAGATCCTCATCCCCGCCTCTCTGTGCTGAGTTTTGCACTGATAAACCTGCCGGGTGTTCAAACGTCCACAGAGTGATGTGTCTCCTCTTAGCCAGCTCCATACTCCTCCAGATCTTCAAGATCTTCAGGAAATTTAGGAAATTAGGATGCCTGAAGGGCTCTCCATTTGCTGGATGTGAAACGATTTCACGGAGAGATGATTCCTCCGCTGGACTTTGATGCAGCGCTGGTGGACTCCACAGAGAGCCCCAAATCTGTGAGAAATTACCATCTTCCTTGAAAGGGAGCATATCTCATGGCGTTGGCTTGGTAGAGACCTGCCTGTGTCAGCCTGACTTCTTGTTTAACAGGTCAATTTTTGAGCAAATAGGCCCAGATAGGAAGTATTTGCCAGCAGGTTACTTCACTTGTTTCCATTAGATTGACATGAGCAATTTCCACAATGCTCCATAATGAAAAATTTCTTTTGTGAGATGGTTGAAACCAGTGGTATTTGGACAGTCCATCCTCACCCTTTTATCAGTGGCATCATAAGTCACTGAAACTGGTGCCTGATAAGGAGATCTCCATTAACTGTACTTCTACAAATATACATCAAATTGCATCTGAGCTTGCAAACCCTTCCAAGGCGAAATGAAGGAATATGAAGCAGATGGAGAAGAGAAATGACTGATATGAAGCTATATCAAAAAATATAGCAGTATTGCAAAAAAAAAAAAAAAAGAGGGAAAATTACTGGAGTGTCCTTTTATTTAGTACAAAAAGTCCTCCTCATATTTATGCAAGAATTTTATACTGTCTTAGGTAGGGGTTCTTTGCAACAAATGCTTTGCCATAGCTTGCTGCTATGGGGGCAATAGTGGGAGCTCAGAAAAGAAAACGCCAGGTTCTCTAACACCCCAGCCCTGAAATCTGGATTAAACAGCAGTGGTTTAAAAAGACCAGGCAAGAGCAGCAGCTTTATTTGCAAGAGTGTTATCTCTAGTGGTGGTGACAGTGATGGGAAATTTGGGCTAGAAATCCCCTCTAGCACCCCTCAGACTTTTGCCTTTAGTCACCTTTGAGAGCAACATTTTACCCTGCAGGGAAGGGATGGTGCCACTGGCTGGTGGCACTGAATTTACTCCATTGCCTCTTCTTCCTCCTCTGACCCTTACTATGAGGTGAGGAGGAGCAAGGTGGGGGAGTGAATGCCACAGCAGGACTTCAGAAATCCCCCCAGCATTAAAGACACAAGCCTCTGACTCCCATTTATTCTGGAAAAAAGGCATTTCCCCAGTGCCAACTGGGCAGCCACAAGAGTGAGAACTAGAATATGCTTCGCAAGGCTCGGGCGAGGCGAGGGGGCTTGTAAGGACGTGTGGCTCATTCTCCCCCACCTTTCTCCCCGAGGCAGACTGCAGCTGATAGCGTTCTGCCCCCTTTGCACCTCCCGGCCTCCCTCTCCCAGCCCTGTCTCTGCCAAGCCCAGCAGCTCGGCTCTGGGTGCTGCTGCAGCTCCCGCTCCTGCTGGCACGACTGCTGCTGAGCAGAGTGGGGAGGGCCATAATGACGCACCCCATTGGTATTAGAAGACTTCACCGGCTATTTATAGGCCCCGCCGACCGCAGAAGGCTCTCGGCCTCTCTTTTTCTCCCTCCCTCTCCCTGCCTTGCTCACTGGCTTCAGCTCAGTGCAGGAGGGGAAGCAAAACAAAGGTTGTAAATAAAATGGTAGGTCCAAGCGCGGCATTCCTGAGCATGGCAAAGTTTCTGCCTCTCTGCTATCGAAATCACCCGACGGATTCAGGCTGAACAAATTATTTCCAGAACACCGTTTTTTCACTCTGGTGTTCTTTCCTCCCAGTTTTTCAGCTTGGATTTCTTTCTTTTTTTGCCTTTTTTTTTTTTTTTTCTCTCTCTGTCTTTGCACAGTTTCATTTTCCAGTTCCTGGCATTGGCTTGGCTATTCCTCAGCAGGGCTGGATAAAGCCCAGAGAGGGGGAAACCTCTCTATTGAGCTTGGCAAATGTCCCCAGTTCCTGCCAAGCACTTCCCTGTGTGTCTTTTCCCATCCCTGGGCTGAGCCCTGACCCTTATTTTGGCCCATGACATCTTCTGATGCTTCCCTGACCACGGGGCCAGGCTACAGCTCCCACACTCACTCTCCGAAGGACAGAGTCCAGCACCCTTGTCATCCACACATTTGTGTCTCTCCAGCCCCTGCCCTGCTCCTGTGCTGGTGGGTGAGTCAGTGAGGACCAAGCTGATATGCAGATGGAAATGGTACCTGTGTGTCAATCCTGGGTGCTCCTTCAGCGTGAATAACCACAGCAATAAGTTTTGAATTGCTCTTGCAGGAGCACAGTTCACCCCATCTCAGGTCAAAGGCAGCATTTGGAAATGTGAGTAAAAAATGCAATACACCTGAATATGGCCAGCGAGGTAAAAACAACGAATAGTGTCCACAGCAAAGGCACTGATGGAGAGTTAAAGCCATTTATAATCACTTCAGTGAAGTGAAAAATAGAGATCACTGGAGGTGCACATCCACTCTTTTTTTTTAACAAAACAATGCTGATTTTCAGTATATTTATTGTCAGAAACACTCCTGCCTGCATGCAGGCCCTCAGGTTTACAACAGAGGTAAGAGAGGATAACTGTGGGAATTAAATCTGTAGCAAGATATTTTCCTTCTGCTTGCATATTGAATTAACCATCGCCCTACCTGAGAGCCTCCATTCCTTGCACCTCCATCAGCACCAGAGATAAAGCAATCAAAGGTTGGGGGTGTCTTCTCTGGAGAGATGAGTCTTATCCTTAAGTAAATCATTTTACCTCTCTGGTTTTGTGTGATACCCTGCTCCACGCTTATCTATTCGGACTTGCAGGCTGCAGGGCTGTGTCCCGCTGCTGGGGAGGGATTTACAGCACCGATGCCAGCCCTAGCCCCTGGGGGGTTTGAGGCTTGCAGCAATACTGGGGAATGAAATAACAGGGCCTGGGTCTTTCTCCCTGGAGAGGAATCACATATCCAGCTGCAGACGGCTAGTCCCAAAGCTAATGTATTGTGCTTTTTTAGATCATTACTTTTATTTTTAGAAAATAGCTTATTAAAAAAAGGATACAGATAATTCAAGAGCTATATTTGAACTTGGGGATGCTGCTTAATATTTGGCCTCAAAACAAGAGCATGTTACCTTCTCTTGACAAGCTCGTCCCTTCACAACTTTCTGATCACACTTTTAAACCTCAGTGTGCATGAGGCTCTTGCTAAATACATCTTACTGTGAGCTGTGTCATGACCTGCTCTTACGGGCTATGTGGGACAGGGTCTGAAAATTGGGTAAGAGAAAGAAAATTCTTATTATCATTATGAAGCTCCTTTAGAGGTCTCACAAAATGACATTTGCTATCCCTGCTAAGGTGAGCAGCCTGCCACCAGTTTAAAAAAAGTTGATGGAAAGGGGATGGGAAGTGTGCTGGCACAGGAAAAGTGCCCCTTCTCACCTGACCATGCTGGAGGGTGCATGCTGTGACACTGAAAAGCCACGTAACCCACTGTCCTCCCTCCTCACACCACCCCTCTGTAGAGACGAAAGCCTACAGACCCTTTTTTTCAAAGGCAGATCAGCATGTCCAGATTCATCCTTGTATTGCCTCCTTGCATGTAGGGATTGCCCTGGGCACACCAAACGCTGTGCTGCAACTAGCAGCCAGAACGCTGGGTTTTTCCATCCTTCTCAATTTGGAGATGCTCCAGCCCTGCCTTGAAAACTGCATGGTCACCCTGGAAATGTGGGATAAAGCAGTAAAATTTCAGGATGCCTCTGGAAGGCTTTTTTAAAAGCAGATCAGGACAGCCACCACAGGAAAATTATGTTTTCTTCTCCAGTTCTTGATTCTTCAGTTTTGGAGAGGCACATTCATAAACCATAAAAGCAAATTATCCCTCCACCGACACAGATCCAGCCCTGACCTTTCTGCATCATAAAACCGCTTTGTCAGATCGCCATATGTTTAAAATTGTTCCTTTCATTTATACCCCACTTTCTGCCAGCACCAATGTGTAAGGACTGCTGGAGAACTGGTAGTTCTCCTATGATAAAATCCTGATTTTGAGGGACTTGCAACTCCAGCTGGACAAACAGCTCATAGGATGTAATTTATGCTTGAATTTATGCTTGTCCACATGCACCTTACAGTTTTCTTGTTTGAAATGTTCTCACTGGGTATTTCCTACAACTCAGTCTCGTTTTCATGGACCACACGAAAGCATCCAGGCTATGAGTACTTGACACTTGGCATTTGACAGAGTAATTATGCTTGGTTCGTTGCTATTATTTATTGTATTTTTGTCAGCATTCCAGTTCTACCACTCCATTCCTAAGCATGAAATACCATAAGGCCTCTGCCCCAAATGGGCTGCAGTCAGATGACAACTGGTAGTGCAGGTAGTTTTAATGTTTCTAGCACACTTGGCTGTGGAAGCTTGCAAATGAACATCCATTAGGCATTTAAAAGGCCAGTGTAAAATTTCTGCTAGTTTCTATGATAAGTGCGAGAGGAAAAAAAAAAAAACAAACAGCTATTTTAACTGTGGTTTGGACTTTGGACATAAGAGTGAAGTGTTCAGTATTGTATTTTAATATAATAAATGCCGTATGGTTTCTGATAATGGAAAATACAAGCAACTTGGTGCATTATACATTCATGTATTAGATCAGAAACGTTTGTAAATCAGGCAATAAAGCTGTTTGAGCAGAAGTACTTACAAGACATTAGTGGACTAATATGAGATTCAAAATGACATGAAAAGTTGGTGTTTGACTGTGCTGTGTGGGGACACAGTGACATCAGACAGCTGAAAGCATTAACCAACAGTAGCAGCATGGAGCAAGCTTACAAACACATGTTTAAATATCACACTTTAGGAATAAAAATAATTAGAGATTTTTTTTTCGTTTAGGTAAAGAAGGGTCTGTTTCCTTGAAACAAGAGCTCTGGATCTTCTCTTTTGGTCATTTGCTAAGAGAAGGGATCAGAAACGTGATGCTAAACTGCTGGAGCAAGCATGTTATCCTGTTTACGTGATGGCAGTAATGACGTTAAAGTTAAAACTCAGGTTTTTTAAACTGCAGCATTATATTGTATGTCCTGTAATAAACCTGATAATTTTCATATAACTATTTAGAAAGATGAAGCTCATTTAAGAAAAACAAGTATATTACACTACACACAAGGATACCTTTGCTCCCAGTTCTACCTAACAATAGCCAACAGAAAAAGAATAAGAAGTATCTGAAGATCCAAGAGAAACGTTTAAAATGTCAATTGACAGTATCTCAGCACACGGTATTGTTATTTCTTTGCTAAATTCAGATGGTCTCCAAGAATCTATAAGCTCGTTGCAGCTGGACAGTGTTTATAGACATATGGCAGAAGATGGTTTTCAAAGGAATTTAAATATTGCAGGGAGTGGTTTTATATTTCAGGGCCCCAAGTTTGCTTTGTGATAGTGGTTTATTTTCACTGTTGCTCAAGAAAGGAGCCCTCTGTTCAGAGGGAAATGCAGAAGGTGTGAAGTGAACAAATAAAATGTTACATTTTCCATCCCTGGCATAGCAGAGGAATAGGAAGCAGCACAGCAGAAAAAGAGGAGTCTGGATAAACAGGAGAGATACACGACCTGAACAAATCAGACATATAATACTGGGTTGCGTTCCCTGAGTTGATGAACATAAATTAACACCTGATAAGATGACTGTGTTTGAGATAAAAATTTTGCTTTCCATGAACACCCTCTAAAATGGACTTAAATTCTTTCCATTTCCATAAACATTTCTAGCCACTAATCTAATTGACTGGAATGTTTTCAAAAAGTAAACATAGCTTAAAGTAATTCGCTGCTTTTATTCACATATAAGTGAGCATTTGCAGGTTTTTAAAGGTATTCCCTGAGGCAAATAACTAACTAAACAACCGTATTTTGTAAACAACTATGACAGTAAAAAAGCCAGGCTCTGAGGTCTTTCTGTGAAATCACCAAATCACCTCGATTATGCTCAAAAGAAAGAATATTTTTAGCAACTGTTCCCTTGAAGAGGACACACACCTGACACACACTTTATGATGCTCCCTGGAAAACGTAGTTGAAAGTGAAGTTTATATCACCAGGGCACCGGGACCAGAGATTTCTGACAGCTTGAGACACATATGGATGCAAGCGGGGAGGGGTCAGGCCTTCTTGCCAGACCCTGATTTGATCTGAGCTTTGAAATCTCAAATTCATGGGCTGCAGGGGAATTCCTCCCCCTTTACAAGGGTGGGAGAACTGCATCAAGCTCCTGGGACCTCTGCCGGCTACAGGCCCACTACTTGGCTCGAGCAGACCTGGTTGCCTGAGCTCCTTCTACTTTTTGCTTTGTTTCTTTCTCTCTAGTGACTTCTGTGGCAGCGTGGTGGGTTGACCCTGGCTGGATGCCAGGTGCCCACCAAAGGCCGCTCTATCACTCCCCTCCTCCACTGGACAAGGGAGAGAAAATATAACAAAAGGCTCGTGGGCTGAGATAAGGACAGGGAGACCACTCGGATTACCATCTCAGCAAAACAGGCTCGACTTGGGGAAATTAGTTCAATTTATTACCAATCAAAATCAGAGTAAGATAATGAGAAATAAACCCAATGAGAAATAAAACCTTTCCCCCATTCCTCCCTTCTTCCTGGGATTAACTTTACACCGAACTTCTCTCCCTCTGCTCCTCCAGCAGCACAGGGGGGCAGGGAATGGGGGTTGTAGTCAGTTCATCACCCGTTGTTCCTGCCGCTCCTTCCTCCTCAGAGGGAGGACTCCTCACATTCTTCCCCCGCTCCAGTGTGGGGGTCCTTCTCATGGGAGACAGTCCTCTACAAACTTCTCCAACATGTCCTTCTCACAGGCTACAGTCTTCCACAAACTGCAGCAGTGTAGGTCCCTCCCACGAGGTGCAGCCCTTCAGGCAAAACCCCCTCCTTCTGCACTGACCTTGATGGCTGCAGAGTTTCTTCTCACATGTTCTCACTCCTCTCTCTGCTGAGCTTTACAGTTTGTTTGGTTTTTCCTCATTCTTAAACACGTTATCGCAGAGGTGCTACCACCGTCACTGGTGGGTTCGGCCTTGGGCAGTGGTGGGTCCGTCTCAGCACGGGCTGGCACTGGCTCTGTCAGACACAGGGGAAGCTTCTGGCAGCCTCTGACAGAAGCCACCCCCAAAGCCTCCTGCTACCAAATCCTTGCCACACAAACCCCGTACAAGCAGCTGTGGAAACCTTCAGGTAAAGCCAGAGCCAAACCCAAGACCCATGACCTTCCTCCAGAGTTCTGCACCACGCACGCATTACAGAGCACGAGCTACTGAATTTCCAAGCCAGGGACAACAACTATCCCCACTGAGCTGATTCTTGTCTAAGGAGCACAAGTTAATTGCAGCGTTGAAGCAGTTTGGTAGAAATGCTGTAATTGCTAAACAGTCTAACTGAAGAGTAGCTTGGTTCAGTTCAGCTGAAGCAAACACGCTCCTAAACGCCTGACCCTAAACAACCAAACTCACAAAACCCAAATTAAACCACCTCAAACAGAAATCACCTTCGGCAGCTGGCCATGTTTTCAAACTTTTCTCTGTAACTCTGAAATTGAGATTTTAAAAGTAAAAGCCAAGATCTTAATATAATTACTTCCTCACCAGCGGTGGCCCTGAAGAAAAACTGCTGTTTATTGGGAAAGCTGCAGCACTGCAATGATATGAAATACTACCTGGGTTGCTGTCTCTGGGAGCACGCACACAGAGCCCCCACAGAAGGTTGTAGCAGCAGAGCAGGATGATTGCTTACAGACTTTCACCCTCCAAAAGCAATCGTGCCCGAATTCATGAGCTCAATTTCTGTCTCAATTCTGTCAGAATATTGCTCTTAAAGAAGATACAATTACAAAATTACAATCTACCCTGAAATCTCCACTCCTTTCAGTTCTTTGAAGGGGGTGTGTGTGTCTCTCTCTCTATATATATATATTTATTTCTCTATCATTGAATGGTAATTACGCTGTTCTTCATTTTATTTGCCAAATTGCACAGAATCTGATGCAAAGCCCTCTTCTGTGCAGTGCTCAGAAGTCGCCAAGCACCAATCAGTGCATAAGCACTGCTGAAGGCGGCAAAACCTTGCAAGTATTTTAACCTCTTACTATGTCAAGAAAAAAACCCCTACCCATCTTAAATTGTCTGCCTTTGCTATCAATTCAAATACAGGGATCCCTCATAAAAATCCTTTGTTATTTCCAATGACTACCTGAAATTAATCCCTTGCACCAAAGTAACAGTCTTGGGTTTCAATGGACAGGTTTGTGCACATCTGTATTCATAAATTTTAATGCAAACAGCCAGTCACTCAAAAGGAAAGCAAAATGCAGTGTGCGTAAAATAAAATGCAATAAAAGAACAATAGAGTGGATTCAGTTTATTCTAATCCAAGAGCAGTTAAAGCAAGAGCATATACACTAGCAGAGCTCAGCAGATTCCAACAGGAAAGGAAATATCAGTCAACAAATCCTCACAGTTTTATGAACATGTCGGGGTGGGTAAGCCTTCAGACGATTTCAAACCAGACTGAAGAAACAGGGTAGTTATTAAACGTTATTTTCCCAATATTATCTTAGAATTGAAAGATTTATGGCTTTATACAGCTGATGAGCAGAGCAGTGCTGCTGCCCAAGGAATTCTGCATGTAAGAAAGTCCCTAGACCCTCGGTACAAAGAAGAAGGTGTTAGGAGAAAGCCCAAAGGCATCAAGTCAGGTTTGTTCCATAGCGTTTGTGGATAAAATTCTAACAAAATATTATAGGTAATTTAACCTTCACTGTGTGCCAGCATTAGACATGCAGGAAGGTGTAAGACCTCACTTCTGCTCTTCAGTGAAAGAAAAATCCCACTCAAAGTCTACTAACTCTTATGCCACTACTTTTTAAATTTCTTTCTTTTTTTCCTGACCGGATGGCCTTACTGGTTTTATTTGTCTTTCATATTAGAGCAATTTGAGTACCATCCATCCCTGATTTCTTGCAAGATGCTATGGACTATAGGACAGCTAGCAGGATGATGCCTTAGATGATGTCGAAGGGATGACCCTGAAGGCCATTTTTTGGGTGTATGATTTAACACTCCTGCTTCAAATGAGGAACTGTGAAATCTTCACTCCAGCTTCCTGGATCTTGATAAAAGCAAGCAGGAGAAAATTGTAATTAGTCCCACTATTTCTAAAGTTAAAACCAAGAACAAATTATTGCAGGTTATAGTTTTTCAGCTCTTCAATTACTGTGGATGCCAAAATAAAAAAAAAAAATCTGTATTTATAGCACTCTGTCGAGGGAACAAGTTTTTAAAGCAAACAAAACTGTATATTTGCAGCCTGGGAAAATGCCAATGTAGTCCCTTATTCTGATAGCATTATCTCCTTATCTTGCAAAACTCTATCAGTTATTTTATGCTTTTACTGTGAAAAAAGCAGGTCTTAGTTTCAAGAGTTTGCGTGTAGAGATGAAGAGGTGAAACACAATTTGAGTATCTTACTTCCTTCACCAGGATTAAATTCTTAGTAAGGCTCCGGTTATTTGTTTGAACCTCCTAGTGGGCATTACTTCCCCACTCTAAAATAAATTTCCCCAATATTAATCATTTGTGTAAACAACATTAGTCCACTGATACTGCTCCTATCTGCCAATTCCCCTCAGCAGCACAAGAGGAATTGTGCTGTGTAACGGAGCTGTCAATGCTATTACTTTTTTCATTCATCTTGTCAAATTTTGACATCACACCGGAACCTGAGACGCAGTTTATTCTCTAAGAATGCCAGGAAAAAAAAAAAAAAAAAAAAAAAAAAAAAAAAGAAATAAATAATAGTATCGATGAATTTTTGATGGCAGTACTTTGTGTTCAGCAATTAGTGTAGCAAGTACTGCCCAACTGGCATGGACAGGAAGAAAGTCACAAATAATGCCCTTGACAAGTTAAATTCGCTTTTCCCCAAGTGTCTTCACCTATTTACAGCCCCAGGAATTGCTGCCATGTGCAAGTAGCTTCCTTCTTTTTTTTAACAAGGCAGATTCGCTCAGCATGTCTGCTCTTGAAGGATAGTTA